GTGCTGGAAAGGTGCATTCCATGTGCGTCTTTTGCACCGCAGGTGAATGCATTGCCTATGCAATCTGCATTTGGGTGCCAATGTATTGTTAATGGCACCCCAAATAAAAATTAGAAAGGCAGTGCATTTGAGGGCACAAAATCACATATTACTGCAGTACCATGTGGTTTGGTGCAATGTGTATTTAAAAGTTGATCAAACATTACTTTTTTTCAAGGTCCAGAGCGTTTTACAGCCCATTCAAAAGAAAGGTACTACACATTGCAAAGAGGTCTTGCAATGGCAGTGTGGATTACCATATACATATTTTTAAACCTGTGCAATGAAAAAATTATGGGAACCCATGTGCGGTGCATTTTGACAGCCCTAAGTCTAGTTTAGCAGAGGTCCCAACTTAGGACATATACCACAATGAATAAATTGTGAGCAGGCATGCCTTTGATGTAGTCTCATCCTGTTTGAAGGTGGCCCAGACTCATTTAATGGCAGCTTAAGACCTCCAGTTTGTATCTACACCAAATCCAAGAAGCAAAGAAAAAATGGCACCCACTGTGATCAATGTAGCTTTAAACGTAAGGTGCACATGAGCAGGGTAATTCACAGAACAATACAATATTTAAAAAGTCCCTAGCACACTTACCAGCTGGCCATGAAAAAAATAGGTCTAAACTTTTTCACTAAAGTACATTAAAAAAAGACGAATAACATTCTGAATCTGGATGACTGATTCTTCCTGAAGATGCCCAGGAAGAGTTAAAAGTGTGTACATATGCACATTCCTTGTCCAATCCAACTGTGGCAGGTCAGAAGAGACAAAGAACAAGGGACATTTTATGTTCATAAGTACCTTTAGGCTAGGTTCACACAACTGCGGATGTGGGACTGTGTGTAAATGGCATGCTTTCCTGAACCTGCAGCAAAAATGTGCTGCTGTCAGTAGATGCACCTTTTCCCGTGCTGGGAACGACATAGCACTAAGAGGTTTCCCTACGACTGTGATTTTGGAAAAGGCAAGGATCTTTCCTCCGTGTCTTCTGTAGGTACAGAAATGAATGGGCTGCTGTGCTCCCCAAGTGCGGCTGCAGGGAACCCTCAATAGTGTGAACCTATCCTTAGTAAAAGAGCATTCCAATTGGAGATCTATAAAATATGTTACATGTAGCCCTGAACTTAATTTATGACTTTCAGATAAAAGTTATTTTCAGTAGCAGTTCAACTCTACTGAAGGTGTCAGAATTGGTCAGCTTCTGACATGACCTTTCAAACATTGATTCTTGGAGGAATTGCAGAAATTAGTTTTATCTCATATGTTGTCATTATTTGAGATTTGACACCTGCTTGTCAAAACTGTGCAGGTGACTGTGTGCAGACATTGAAACCATAGTGTTCTCAGGAGAAATACTTGCACAAAGTTGATTGATATATTGATCTGAGTTCACAGTAGATTGACGTATTGAAGTGAGGTCAGAGACTTGTTTTTGGAAAAGATTCACAGCCAAGCTGCCAAGTCCCAATGCCCAGTTTCCCATGTCACAACAACCATTTTATGAAATGATACTAATGCCATCTGCTTTAGTATATATATCTTTCAAACCCACAGCTACGGATACAAGAAATCATTTTTAAAATATACTGTAATACCGTTCGTTTCAATTGCTTTCATCTCATCAATGCAGTGGCAGGTCAGCACAATACGTATAGTGGATATAAAAATCAGGTTTCTGTGATGTAAAAAAAATGAGACAAAGATAAATCACTTCAGAACTTTTTCCACCTTTATTGTGACCTATAAACTGTACAACTCAATTGAAAGAAAAAAACTGAAATCTTTTTTTTTTTTTTTTTTGGGTGGGGGGGCATAAAAAATAATGTGGTTGCATAAATGTGCACACCCCCTTATAACTGGGGATGTAGCTGTGTTCAGAATTAAGCAATCACATTCAAAATCATGTTAACTAGGAGTCAGTACACACCTGCCATCATTTAAAGTGCCTCTGATTAACCCCAAATAAAGTTCAGCTGTTCTAGTAGGTCTTTCCTGACATTTTTTTAGTTGCATCCTATAGCAAAAGCCATGGTCTGCAGAGAGCTTCCAAAGCATCAGAGGGATCTAACTGTTAAAAGGTATCAGTCAGGAGAAGGGTACAAAAGAATTTCCAAGGCATTAGCTATACCATGGAACACAGTGAAGACAGTCATCCTCAAGTGGAGAAAATATGGCTTAACAGTGACATTACCAAGAGCTGGACGTCCCTCCAAAATTGTTGAAAAGACGACAAGAAACTGGTCTGGGAGGCTAACAAGAGGCCTACAGCAGCATTAAAGGAGCTGCTGGAATATCTGGCAAGTACTGGTTGCAGGGTACATGTGACAATAATCTCTCGTATTCTTCATATTTCTGAGCTGAGGGGTAGAGTGGCAAGACGGAAGCCTTTTCTTACAAAGAAAAACATCCAAGCCCTAAAGTTTGCAAAAACCCCATTTGAAGTCTCTCAAAAGCATGTGGGAAAATGTGTTATGGTCTGATGAAACCAAGGTTGAATTTTTTGGCTACAATTCCAAAAGATATGTTTGGTGCAAAAACAACACTGCACGTCACCAAACGAACACCACACCTACAGTGAAGCATGGTGGTGGCAGCATCATGCTTTGGGGCTGTTTTCTTCAGCTGGAACTGGGGCCTTAGTCAAGGTAGAGGAAATTATGAACAGTTCCAAATACAAGTCCATATTGGCACAAAACCTTCAGACTTCTGCTAGAAAGCTGAACATGAAGAGGAACTTCATCTTTCAGCGTGACAATGACCAAAAGCATACAGCCAAATCAACAAAGAAATGGCTTCACCAGAAGAAGATTAAAGTTTTGGAATGGCCCAGCCAGAGCCCAGACCTGAATCCGATCAATAAAAATCTGTGCAGTGATCTTAAAAGGGCTGTGCACAGGAGATATCCTCGCAATCTGACAGATTTGGAGAGTTTTTGAAGGAAGAATGAGGAAATATTGCCAAGTCAAGATGTGCCATGCTGATAAGACTCATCCCCAAAAAGACTGTGTGGTGATCTTAAGAGTGCTGTAATAAAATCAAAAGGTGCTTCAACAAAGTATTACTTTAAGGGTGTGCACACTTATGCAACCATATAATTTTAGTTTTTTATTTTTACTTCCCTCCACCTAAAAGATTTCGGTTTGTTGTTCAACTGAGTTGTACAGTTTATAGGTCACTTTAAAGTTGGAAAAAGTTCTGAAATGATTTATCATTGTATCATTTTTTGATATCACAGAATCCTGACATTTTAATAGGGGTGTGTAGACTTTTTATAGCCACTGTATATGAAGCAGAAACAGAACAAAAATGTTTTTTAGGAAACTATTTATTACACGCGGAGTAACAAGGACTAACTTCAAAGTGGCTGGGCTACAGTTGAGGTTCTAAGGGAAATAAATCTGCACTGCTAAGACAACTAAACAAATGTTTTCTTATGTGAGGGATATCTTTGACTAGTGACAATTCTGAAGACTTTTTTGCATCTGATTTCAGCTCTTGCAAAATAGAGAAGTCACAGTTTAATTTTCCTCAACAGCCTCTCTAATAAGGCCCCCACCCATCCTCAGGCCCTATATCAGCCACTTGGACTGCTTAGATTATAGTTATACTGCTAGTTACATAAAGATCGATGTGATAAAGTACAGAGCAAAGTTGTTTTACAATGGATTACCAATTGATATATAGATAAAAAAGTGCTCACCTTTGCTTTAGATGTTATGTAATAGAAGTAAACTATAGTATTAGGAATTATAGTAAGCGCCACAGAATACAACATAAAACGAAAGTGCAGCTGACAGTCTAATACCCCCCTGGGTAAAAAAGTCTTTGTATATAAACAACAGCGCACAACTTCATACTCCTATCCATATAGAATGCCATAGAATGTCTCTCTCCTTTGATCTTCCAATAAAGTGACTCCAAATCTCAAAAAAAAAACTAATATAGTGTAGTATTGATTATGCAAATGTGCTACATGTATACCTGTGCACAATTCAATATTAATAGTATCCACCACTTATCCTCTAAATATTCTTACTCTCTTGGGGTGAAAAAGTGCATTCCACTTCTTTTACTGTGAATAACATCCACAAATACACGTGACCATGCTCCATCCATCACCTGTGTGCGAAAAACAATTCATTTTAATGTGCTCAAACCCTTCCCCTTCAGGCATGCACCTTAACCTGCATGTCTTGTAAATTGCCTTTACAAAATATATAATCAACGTGCTCAGTCTCCTCCCCGATTCTTCATATACTCATAGTGATCATGAAAAATAAACATACACTCACATAGTGCAGAAATATTTGGAAAAATCAATTTAATAATAAAATTGCGTTTACATGAATCTTCCTATGAGGAAGTTGATTGAACGATGAATTGCGTCAAGCGGATGTGACATCAGATGCAACCGGAAGTATCGTGGTGGCCATTTTGGAATTGGTTGAATTGTTTGTACCTCAGACTCAACTCAACTATTAGTTACACCGACTGCCATCCATCCAAATGTTTTTTGATAATTACCCTAAGACCCTGTACTCCTATTTTGTCCTTAAATTGTACTACCAGACTGTGAGTTGTCATTTCTATGTTTCCTTTCCTCACTAAATGTTGCGGCCACTCTCTTTGTTACCCACATTATTAACTTTCATTTATTTGTTTAGATCCTTATCAGCATCACAAACAGACAAAAACTGATGTGCTCTAAAGTGTGCATTGGAAACAATGATGTTGAATCTGACCCATCTCTCTGAGCAGTCATGTAAGCAATAGTGACACTGATGGTCTTAATCAGTGCTCCTGGCCTTTCATGGTAACGTATGATACTCTAGTTACAGTAGTTGGAGTGATGGACGACACTAAACTAAAGATGAAATAACAAAAAGCAGTGACACTCTGGGGCAGATTTACTAAAACTGGAGCACTCAGAATCTGGTGCAGTTGTGCATGGTCGCCAATCAGCTAACATGGAAGCTAATTGGTTCCTATGCAGAGCTGCACCAGATTTTGCACTCTCCAGTTTTAGTAAATAACACCCTCTTAGTTGTAAAGTGTTACTAAACCCAGGACTCAGCATTCATTTTACCTGGCCTCCCATAATACACAGAACACAGAAATGCAATTATTTTAGTAAATATAAACTGCTAAATACCTTTTCTCATCAGCAGTTAGAGCAGTCTTGTGACTTCTATCAGTGTCCCGCAGAGCACTGGTTACAGCTTGTAGGAGGAGTTTTAATTCTCCCCTGAATGTCCTATGAGGCTGAATAACTCCTGACCTTCTGTCTAGACAGTTGATTGACCCTGTGCTGGTCACATGCACTCTCCCAAGAAAAATAAAACTCTATAGCAATACACACCAAATTGAGCATGTGCAGTTTGCCCCCAAGGCTCTGTTCTTTCAGCAAATGATAACACTTGAAAAGTATTACGTTTTTGAGATTTTAATGCTTTTGCTGAAAAGGAAATGATGGAAACGTAGACAAGAATTAGTTCATTTATAGTGAAAATATTACAAAAAAAAATAATACATACTTGCACACAAAACATTTTTATATGAATTACCTCTAAAATGTTCTATAATACAATGGAAGCATGGTTGAGTTCTATAAATTATAGTAGCACTTTATTACTTAACACAGCTAAAAATTAATTTAAAGTAGAATGATATAGGTGTCTGTATCATCAGTTGTGTGATTCTGGTGGTGTTAATGAAATGTCAGCCTTAGTCTATCATTATTACTACAAAGCAGACTGTCAGTATAGTAAAGTATGAAGTATAACATTTTTCTGCATTTATCCTCTCAGCCTTGGGAATATGGTATACCTGAGATTCCCTGAAGAACATTAAATTTAATCTCAGCAAGTGCGAATAAAAACCATACATCATACTAAGGACCGCTTTAGAGAAGATGTATAATAAAGCCTGGATGCTGTCACGATTCCTCCATTATCGGAAATAAATGATGCATTATTTAAAGACCTGTTTTACAGCAATGTTTAAATGCATTGAACATAAGAACACAATATTAAATATTTAATCTTTATTTATTATCCAATAACATGTACATTGCCTTCAACTAGTGGTTCTCTTTTTTCTGGGAAAACTAGCATTTATTGTGTCCCTAATGCTAATGAGACTAGTGACCCCAAACTCTCATAAATATCTGCTACCAATTATTGCAATGGGTCTGTCAGCTATGCACAACAGTGCCCGAGCAGACACAATAGGGTTGATTTGCTAAAGGCGAAAGGGCTGTTCACTTTTCAAGGGAATTTTTTTCCTTTGCAAGGATGTTATCACTAAGCTTAGTGAGTGAGTAGTGATGGGCCGAACCCCCACCTGTTTGGTTCATGGTCGAAAATTTGAACTAAAATGCAACAGCGAACTTCAAACTCAGGGGACAATTCACTTAGCGGTATCTTACCGCATCCGAGTATGTGAAAAGATACAACACAGCATGTTTTCAAAAAAAGTTGGCATTCACTAAAAAAACGCTACCAAAATACCGGTGGGTCCCCCCCCATCCATATCAAGCCCTTCGGATCTGGTATGGCTTTTGAGGGCAACCCCCATGTCAAAATGTGTTTTAATAAAGGACTTGTCAAAGACTGTCTACTGTCATTTTGTACGCTACCCTTTTTTTTGTGAATTAGTAGCGGTACCATGTACCCCACACTTATTCACATGGGGGCAGGATCTGGGGGCCCCCTTGTTAAAGGGGGCTTCCAGATTCCGATATGCCCCCCGCCCGCAGAACCCCACAACCATAGACCAGGGTTGTAGTGATTAGGCCCTTGGTCCATCCCCTCCCGTTTCCTGACCTGCCAGGCTGCATGCTAGGATAAGTGTCTGGTATGGATTTTGGGGGGCTCCACGCCATTTTTTAAGAAGCAAAAATAAAAAAAATGTCTTCCAAAGTAGATTCAACATCAATCATGATGCCCGCCGCTGCCAACCTGAAAAAAGAAAAAAAAAAAAAAAAGGTTCTGCTCTCGCAGCTACGCCGGCATGACAGTCCTTAAATATCTAAGAGGCAGGGCTGCTCGGTTATGTCAACTGGGTGACCCTGCCCCCTTGTGACATCATCGACCGGGCCATGCTGGGTCAATGATGCTGTAAGATACCACTTAATGAATTGTCCCCAAATTCCTTTAAATATCATGCCTGGGGGATCTCCTTAAACGTAAAGTTGCACATCTGTACAATGTATAGAACCTGCTATTTTTTTTTTTTTAAATGACATTTAAAAAAAAAAAAAAAAAACGGCATGGGGTCCCTCTTTCAATCAGAACCTTTAGGTTTGGTAGGAAGGATAGCAGGGACCCCACAGTAACACTTTTTTTTTTAAAAGTGCATTTGGTTTTCTCTCAAAGCCATACCAGGCCCTTTAGGCCTGGTAGATCGTTTAAGGGGAACCCCACCCCCAAAAAATGGGGGGGGACGCATGGGGTACCCCTACGCATTCACCAAAAAAGTGTACAATGTGAATAAAAACACAACACCAGTTTTTGACAAGTCCATTATTAAAACAAAAGCCAAAAAAAATGGTTCCATTGGTGTAATTCATTGTCAGTAATGGCGTCCATCGTTGCCCTGAGTATGCTGACTCGCTGAAATAAAAAAAAAAAAACAGACACCCACAGACCTGTCCGCACGCACCGAGCACTCACCGCTATCTGACATTTGCGGGTCAGATGTAAATAATTGGGCAAAGCTAGCGGTAACATCACCTCTAGCTCCCACCAATTGCGCTCGTTAGTGTTACAAGGTCTCAGGTGTTAATGGGGAGCAGGTGTGTTAAATTTGGTGTTATCGCTCTCACTCTCTCATACTGGTGACTGGAAGTTCAACATGGCACCTCATGGCAAAGAACTCTCTGAGGATCTGAAAAAAAGAGTTGTTGCTCTACATAAAGATGGCCTAGGCTATAAGAAGATTGCCAAGTCCCTGAAACTGAACTGCAGCACAGTGGCTGAGACCATACAGTGGTTTAACTGGACAGGTTCCACTCAGAACAGGCCTCGCCATGGTCGACCACAGAAGTTGCGTGCATGTGCTCAGCGTCATATCCAGAGGTTGTCTTTGGGAAATAAATGTATGAGTGCTGCCAGCATTGCTGCAGAGGTTGAAGGGGTGAAGGGTCAACCTATCAGTGCTCAGACCATACACTGCACACTGCATCAAATTGGTCTGCATGGCAGTCATCCCAGAAGCAAGCCTCTTTTAAAGATGATGCAGAAGAAAGCCTGCAAAAAGTTTGCTGAAGAGAAGCAGACTAAGGACATGGATTACTAGAACCATGTCCTGTGGTTCAGATGGTGTCAAGCATGTGTAGCGGCAACCAGGTGAGGAGTAGAAAAACAAGTGTGTCTTGCCTACAGTCAAGCATGGTAGTGGGAGTGTCATGGTCTGGGGCTGCATGAGTGCTGCCGGCACTGGGGAGCTACAGTTCATTGATGGAACCATGAATGCCAACATGTTTGTGATATACTGAAGCAGAGTATGATCACCTCCCTTCTGAGACTGGGCCACAGGGCAGTATTCCAACATGATAATGACCCCAAACACACCTCCAAGATGACCACTGCCTTGCTAAAGAAGCTGAGGGTAAAGGTAATGGACTGGCCAAGCATGTCTCCAGACCTAAACCCTATTGAGCATCTGTGGGGCATCCTCAAATGGAAGGTGGAGGAGCGCAAGGTGTCTAACATCCACCAGCTCCGTGATGTCATCATGGAGGAGTGGAAGAGGAATCCAGTGGCAACCTGTGAAGCTCTGGTGAACTCCATGCCCAAGAGGGTAAGGCAGTGCTGGAAATTAATGGTGGCCACACAAAATATTGACACTTTGGGCCCAATTTGGACATTTTCACTTAGGAGTGTACTCACTTTTGTTGCCAGCGGTTTAGACATTAGTGGCTGTGTGTTGAGTTATTTTGAGGGGACAGCAAATTTACACTGTTATACAAGCTGTACACTCACTACTTTACAGTAGTGTCATTGCAGCAAAGTGTCATTTCTTCAGTGTTGTCACATGAAAATATATAATCAAATATTTACAAAAATGTTAGGGGTGTACTCACTTCTGTGAGATACTGTATGTTTTACTCAAACATCAAAGGAATCCCTATGAATGATGCTAATTTCTGCTTTCTGTAGCATCCAATTATGTTCAAGGAAAATTACAGGTTGTTTTTTTTTTTAACTTTCTTTGCATGTGATTGGGTATAATTTGAAAGGTGAATTTTCACCATATTCACTAAATAAAGGGAACATTATTTTGCAAAGTGAACAGCCCATTTGCCTATAGTAAATTATTCACAATGTGTATCTTAAAGGGGAAACATTAAGTTGTTTTTTAATGTGTTTATCATTTTATTCTGCATACTGCTTTAAGTTATGGGCCTCTGACATGATATTAAACCTTTCCAAGACAAGATTCTGCTAGTGGGTGAGTGGTCATGACATTGTCCATAATGGGGTTTGATTTGCCATCAGACTCCTTGCCCCAGCTGACATCAACACACTGGTTTATAATAAGGACAAGAACTCAGATGATAGGAATTTTAATAGTAGTTGCTGCTGCAAGTTACTATAAAACAAAACTAAATTCCTTGTTCATACCATCTGAGACAATGTAAGTTAAGTGTTCACATTATATATATTGTCAGGAAACGAATGCAGCCAATGCTCATTTCCATGCAGCTAATGCTCACTCTTGTGCAGCTAATGTTCATGCACATGTACCAGCACACAGACGAGCTGGGGCTAATATCCATTACGTACTGACACGTAGGCGCATCTGTGTGCACCAGCACCCATCGGTGTGCACATCCACTTGCATAGGCGCCAAACTGCCTATTTAAAGTAAACTCTTGCGTGTGCTAATCGCTGGATGTTCTTCAGCTCCCCTTGATCTGTGCTCCTGTATTCCTGCTCATGCTGAATGATTTCCTGTTGCTGACCCTGCTTGTTTATGACCTTGCTCTGTGTATTTTAGACAACAATCTCAGCTTCCCTCTGACTACTCTCAGGCTGCTTCCTTGGTGCAGACCTCAGCCTGGTGCTGGACCTTGCTCTGCCTGCTTCCCTGATACTGACCTTGGTCTGCTACCTGACCACTCCTCTGCTTCATCTTGTATGGCCCTGTCTCATCCTAACTACCTGCTACCAAGGTACCTGCACCATGCTTCTTTGAACCTTGTACCTCTGTCACCACATTCAGGGGTGCTCGGACCAGAGCCGCAAGGGAAGCCCTCTCATCAACTCGGCCTC